GGTTCGTGACTCAGACCACCACTTTTAAAAATACTTTTTTTTTAATCGCCAATTGCAAGCTCTTTGAAGAAGCTTTCCAACGAGCCGTCAGTGGGCAGCAGAGGATCATTAGTTTTTCGTTAGTCAATCGATTAGTTGTGGGGGTACAAATGCATAAAATCGGCGTAGCAAATACGATTATTTATTAAAAAATAAAAATCGCATGGAAAGGGTTAACTGCAACCGTTTTATGGTTCGAAGTTGATCTTTACATTTGTGATATCGACGTCTTTGCTTGTTCTTATAACGTCTAATTATGTTGTATTTTTTCATTGTACTGATGGAAATGTGACAAAATAAACTAAGTTATTCAGGATTTTGAGAAATGTATATATTTTGCATATCCCATTTTTCTTGAAAAATGCGACCTTCTTCATGTACTTCAAGTTTTTTTTTTCAAGTATTCTTCTGCTAGCTTGAAGTGTATCTATGGATAAAAACCTTACAAAACATCATAACTATTGTTGAGCGTTTGAGGACCGCATTGGAAGTTCCCTGGTGCCGCGTGTTTGACAGTTGTAGTTGTCTAATTAGTTGTATCTTTCTAATGCAGCAATCATGGAGTTAGTTAGTAGTTCTTGTCGCGGCCTCACGGTCAATAAAAGGCCTTGACTAATAAACTAAGTTTCTTGATAGGGCGAGTTTCAACGTATAACCAAATCTTTATATCAGTGATTTTTTCCCTCGCAAGACTGACGACGTATTTGTTGCGATTGGTATACATACTTGGTTAATAGACGAACTCCGGCATATTTATCAGTATTAATTATACCTTATAGTCCATTTTAGTTTTCTTGCTGTTTTGATTAAGGTAAGCTGGTTTCGGCGCACTTACCTTCAACAGCAGACTACTGGAGTTGTTGGGCCTCAAAACCCCACTCCAATCAGTTAGTTTGGGAGAGGCCCTTCCCGTTCGCTTTGTATATCGGGCCTCTCCACCAGTGCAAGCAAGTTTTTTTGAAGTGTTGACATTTAAAGGATAGAAAGACCTAGAAAGGGTTATAACAGCCTTTGGAAGTACCTCGGATAACGGAGCAAGGATGACGACCTATTCAGCCGCCGCTTCAGCAACACCCGCCAACGACACAAGTGATGCCACCGCAAGACCTCTCTCTTTGTTTTTAAGAACGGACCAAAATCTGGAATTTGGAGTTTTGTTGGAACTGCTCAAGAATGACATAACAACTAAAGACTACGTTCAGCACTTCAAAGGATTATATGAATCCAGAAAAGGAGTATGGATACTCTCCTTTGCGGCAGTAGAGACGCCTGGTCAAAGCCATCGAGAGGAGTTCCTACGCAGCACCGGGGGGAAAATTCGAAGCCAAAACATCGCCATCGAAGTTTCCTTACCCAACAAGCCGCCAGTTAGGATCTCAATCCGAGGGATCAATTGGGAGACATCCTTCGCGAAAGTGTCGTCAATTATTAATAACTTGGGTTTCGGAAAGATAAGGAGCGCCGTCCGTAATTACCACCGAGGGACGGCTTTGTATAATGGCTATACGTCTATCCTGGTTGAGGATTTTAAGAAAGAAAAACTTCCGGATTTCATCCAAATCGATGGAGTGTCATGCAAGACCTTTTTACCGCGTGAGCTATACACGCCAACATGCGGAAGGTGTCTACAAACTGGGCACATATTCACACAATGTGAAAACGACCCAGTTTGTAGGCACTGCAAAAAACCTGGACATGTCCAGAAATTCTGCAATCAACGAAAACAAGACTTCCCAAACATCCAGGAAGCGGCAAAAACATGGACCATACCAAAGCGGATGCGTAAGGCACAAGCGATACCACCAGAAGCCCCCTCTGCAAATGTACCCGCTCAGAACACCAGGTCAGCCAGCAATGAACAGCAAGATGCAGTAAACGAAATCCAACCAGATATCATTACACGCGTCCCGAGCGTGCCCGAAAAAGAAAATCAAGAAAACACACCAATCAAAGAAAGACAAACGGAAGACATAATAAAAACCCATCAGGAAGACACCATCGACGAAATTCAGGAATTTTCAACCTCAGGCTCAAATGAGAGTGGGGTTAGCAAATGGTCGGAATGCGAGGACGCACTAAGTCCGTTAATAACGCCGCAAAGACAACCCGAAGTAATTAAAAGATCATCGAGATTGAAACAGACCTCAACAATAGGGAACACCCCGTTTCAACCGCCTCCGAAAGGTCAGGCATATGTGAAAGTAATGGTCCATAACTTTGAAACACACGAGCATCATTATTTAGCGACACGCCACAAGAAGTTCTTTCTGCACCGGCCAATTTGGAGAATAATACAGCATTACCCAACCCTTTGGATTTATCTTATTTCAAACTATGACATTACGGATTATACAAACAAAAGAAGCCGAGAAGATACGCGCTCATCAGAGTCGTCCTTCTCGGTGAGCTTAGAAGGGAAAAAGACTGGGAAAAAGAAAAAAAGCAACAACTGCGGATACGTGAGTTAGAAAATTTATCTTATTGGGAATATATAAAGTACCTTCTACTTGAATTACTTCTCTGAGAAATTTTGGATACATAATTAAAACCACCACAAACGCTAGCTACCGCAAAACTAGCTAACTATATATATCTACTCATAGAAGCAATTGATGTCGCGCATCAAAGTTATATCCATAAACGTCAACGGTCTACAACACCGTTTATACGACCTAAAAAGCTTTATCGAGCGTGAAAAGCCAAACATACTGTGCATTCAAGAAGTGCATAGGGTAGACCAACAAATGATCGAGCTTTGGGCAAACTCTCAGGAGTACAATATATACTTCAATACATTGGATAAATCCGAAAATTATCACGCAAATTTTTGGCAGGGAACATTAATCATGGTTAAATTTGAGAATAATATTGTGCCAACAACCTATGCCGTTCATATTGAACATAGATGCGATAGTATCGAAATGAAGATCGATAATGATATAGTGAAAATTTTCAACGTTTACGCCCCCGCTTTAAATGGGCCTCCAAAAAAGGCTTTTTATGAAAGTTTGGTGACTGTCTTGAAAAACTACTGTAACTTCTATGACTTCATCATAGTGGGGGATTTCAACCTGATTTTGGAAGAGATCGACACTCTGAAAATAAGTAGCTTCAAGCTTCGCCCGTCTGCAAAGATATTTAAAAATTTCATCAGAACAAATAATATTAACGACACATTTCGAAAAAAATATCCCCAAAAACAGATATTCACCTACTATACTGGAACACAAGGACGCAGGATTGATCAAATTTACAACACATACAATTTGGAACATCTGATCTCAACCATTGGCCATATACCGAATACCATATCTGACCACTTGCTTTGCCCTATAATTGAGTTGAAACAAATTAGGAAAATCCGCTGGGGAAAAGGGACATGGAGGGACAACCTTGTACTTTACCGAGACCCGATCTATATTAAAATAATAAAAAACTCTTATGATTTTGCTTTGACGGAAATAGAAAACTATGAAAACTTGCAAGACTGGTGGGATCATCTGAAACATAAAATTCAAAAATTTCGATCGCATATGCAAAAACAGAACCAAGGACAAGAAAAATAATATCTCCCAAATTCGCAAATTAATAGATATTACCATAAAAGAAGGGTTAAAAAGAAAACGTCATCAAAATCGAAAAACTAAAAGCAGAGTTGAAAATACTACTTGATGAAAAGAAACAATTAGATCTATTAATGGCGAAAATCGATACACTAGAGCAAAATGAACGGCCACGAAAATATTTTATGCGAATATCAAAAAAAGAGCAAAGCAAACAACAATAGAAGGGTTAATTTCTCCAAATAACACCTTGGTCACCGAGGAGGAGGAAGTACTATCCATGGTGGAGAACTATTATACTAACCTTTGGGGCCACAAACATCAAACCAATGACGTACAACAGCAACATTACCTATCAATGATGAGACCCACTCAAATTTCAGCGGATGAAAATACCATTCTTGAACAATATGTCTCCAGCGAGGAAGATTGAGGCCGTTAACTCTTTGAGAAACAACAAATCACCCGGTATGGATGGATTATCAAAGGAGTTTTATGTTACTTTCTGGGACTTAATCAAACGCCAATTTACACAGCTCATTAATAACATTTTTAGTTTCGGCCACTTTCCAAAATCTTCCAAAATTGCAAAAGTAAATTATTATATAAAATTATTATATAAAAAAAATGACCAATCAAACCTTAAAAACTGGAGACCAATCACGACCCTCAATATGGACTATAAAATTATTTCTGAAATCTTAATAAAAAGACTCACACCCATCATGGACCGCATAATCACTCCGACCCAAAAATGCTCTCTTCCTAACAGAAGCATGTATGACATTCACTATAATATAGATGCAATAATTCGGCACTGCAAAATAAAGAACACCCCCGAACAATAATATTAATTGACAACCTGAAAGCCTTCGATAAGGTTGACCATCAATTCCTATTCAATGTCTTGCAACACATTAGACTTGGTCGCAAGACTCTTAACATCATCCAAAGTATGTACTCGATATAAAAAGTCGCATTGACGTTAATGGTCGGCTGACGAGAAAAATTACCATCTGCAGCGGCATAAAACAGGGCTGTCCCCTGAGTATGTTGCTCTACGCTATCGTTGTTGAGCCCTTTGCAAGATCTGTGCTTCGAAATACAAACATCCGTGGAATAAAATTAGGCCGTCATGAGCACAAATTAGATCAGTATGCCGACGATATCACCTTTGCTGTAAGAGACCAGACCTCAATACAGGAAATATTTCGGGAACTCGACAAATTTCATTTGGCCTCAGGAAAAAAATTAACCAGGACAAAACTGAAATACTCTGTATCACCAATTCGGCACATAACCTAATCGCAAAATCTCCGTATAGCCATATATAAAAGAAACGTCAAATTTTGGGCATACAATTTGGACATAGGAAACCAGTAAAAATGTGGGACGAAATCATAACTTTATTAATTCGGACCCTAAACTCTTTAAAGCCTAGACTTTTAACTTGGCATGGCAAACAATTGCTATAAACTCGCTGATAATGTCCATAATTACGTTCCACGCAAGAGTCAAAACAATCTCTTTGAAAACCATGAGACGCGCGGAGAGTGAGGTATTCAAATACCTATGGTATCCTGAGAGGATAGAAGCCATAGGAAGAAGAACCTTAAAACAACCATGGGCGGATGGCGGAATAGCAATGGTGGACGTAAAGTCGAAAGTGGAAGCGTGCCAGGTCGAAAAGATGAAGTGTTTTGCTACCGGTCAAATCCCAAACCAATTTTGGCATTATGAATGCCTCTATTCTTTAGGATCGAAAATGAAACTTATTAACAAAGATCTATACAATAACTCTATGCCTCACAGTATGATAATACCACAATATTGGGCATACATTTTCTCCATATATAATAACCTGAATTTTTCAAGAGATACATGGGATTCGGCCAAACACAAAAATATATACCTGAAACTTAAGAATCATAACCTGGTACAGCAACAACAACAAGCGCGTGCGTCTCCCTTTAGTACTAAGTTTTAAAAATCATTATTGGGTTTAACTGTTGCAATTTTTGCGTTCAACATTAAATTTAAATATTTTGAACTAATTCATTATCTTTCTAGGAGTTACTACGTCCATTTCACCTTTTTTTCGAAGTGCCTAAAAAAGTGCCTACCGGTAACAATTTATTATTTCTAAATTCCAGTACTAGACTCAAGTGCATCTATTGGATATTTGCCCAGGCTAATCAGTGTGGGTAATATTTTTACTTCTCTGTCTTCTATTGGTGATAATTCCGATTTTCTTCTTTTTTCGAAGTGCCTAAATATGTGCCTAGCATATGTGGTGACCGAGCGCGTGTGACTCCTTTTAATACTACGTTTTAAATATTGTTATTCGGTTCACATATTGCCATTTGCGTGTTCAATATTTAATTTCACAATTTTCAACTAATTCATTATCATTTTAAAAGTTATTACGCCATTTCACCTTTTTTTCGATGTGCCTAAATAAGTGCCTAAAAAAAGTGCCTACCGGTAAATTTATTATTTCTAAATTCCAGTACTAGACTCAAGTGCATCTATTGGATATTTACCCAGGCTAATCAGTGTGGGTAATTTTTATTTCTCTGTCTTTTATTAGTGATAATTGCCATTTTCTTCTTTTTCGAAGTGCCCAAATATGTGCCTAGCATACGTGGTGACAGAGCGCGTGCGTCTCCCTTTAATACTACGTTTTTAAAATCGTTATTGGATTTAACTGTTGGCAATTTTTGCGTTCAACATTTAATTTAAAATATTTTGAACTAATTCATTACCTTTTTATGAGTTCCTACGTCCATTTCACCTTTTTTCCGAAGTGCCTAAATAAGTGCCTACCGGTAACAATTTATTATTTCTAAATTCCAGTACTAGACTCAAATGCATCTATTGGATATTTACCCAGGCTAATCAGTGTGGGTAATATGTTTATGTCTCCGTCTTTTATTAGTGATAACTGCCATTTTTATTTATTTTTTGAAGTGCCTAAATATGTGCCTAGCATATGTGGTGACCAAGCGCGTGCGACTGCCTTTTATACTACGTTTTAATTATTGTTATTGAGTTTGCCCGTTGCAATTTGCGTTTTCAACATTTAATTTGACCATTTTTAACTAATTAATTATGTTTTTAAAAGGTATTACGCCCTTTTTACTTTTTTTCCAAAGTGCCTAAATAAGTGCCTAAAAAAGTGCCTAATTTGCAAGTGCCTACTTTTAGTCCGTCCCTACTTTTGGTCTAAATAAATAATACTCGTACAAACTATTTTTTTGTGTTTTTCCTAATTCAATGATCAGTAGAAATTTACAGCCGTATATACCCTTAATGACATGGTAGACGTTTCAATATTACAAAGACTGGCCGAATGTTTGCCATATCGCACCGTCCCGGTTTTTTGTTTCAGATTTATGGTAAGCCTACACATATTTCTTGTAGTAAAAGCTTCTTTTCCGTAAAACGTGCAACTTTTGGAAGTGGGAACAAGGCAATATTTGTTACTAAATTTTTAAGGAACATTTTTAAAATCATTTTCAGGTAGTTACCTGATGTGCGCTACGAAACTCACTTTCTAGGCGCTTTTCAGGGCCTCGGCTCGCGGCCTAAAGCTATTTCTCTCGTTTTCTCGTTGGTCGCAACGATAACGATACAGCGATATGAGAGAGATCGCTGGCGTTGGCGAGTTCGTTATCAGCGGCTCAAATGCCGTTTCGGTCGATCGTAGCTATACTTGGGCAAGCTCTGTGACGTGATTGTGACGTCGTAGTAACGTAATTTTTGGATGTCATAGTCAGGTGGGGGTTAGGAAGAACATAGGCAAAATTCGTTATGCTATGCCCACCGTAAGTGCATGTGGTACTAAATTATACTAGACCCCTATTCATCTAAACAATAATCAATCGCTGTTTATTACTGATGAAATATTTTCTTTATTGTATTATTATCTATTATTGTTTATATTAGTGTTGATTTTGTTTTTGTGGCAATAAATCTCACTCTACTAAATCTCTACCCCGGGAGTTCCCAAACTTTATTGGTCGCGGGCCGGGCCAAAATTAGAATCAGAAAGATATTCGCTGGCCGGAAGAATGTAGCACCCAAGACTTTCATTTGACTTTTTTTTGAAACATGCTCGTTTGACTCATAATAGCGCTCAATGTTGTATTCCTTCAGAACTGGAATAGTTCGTTGGCAAAGTAGACAAATCTCTAAAGTTTGATACTTTTCAATGGAGTAATACGAATACTGCCATTTATTCAAGAAACGTCAGTTTTCTGAGTCTAGTTTTCGTTTGATTTCTGACATCTTTCTGTCTTTGAGCTTTCCTATATGGCTGATAACTAAATTACTGTCCTTTGTCATCCTAACACCGGTACCCATAATTGATATACTGGTATAATTGAATTGTTACGATAAACATGTGCTTGAACTCTGATAATGACATAAATTAGCGGTATCTAGATCACATAAAGGTAGAAATTAAAATCTGTTGAACACTATTTCACGTAAGCTCGGCGGGCCATTTTAAATCTTTACGCGGGCCGGATCTGGCCCGCAGGCAGCGGTTTGGGAACCCCTGATCTACCCTATCAACATCACTTTTCTGCTTTTGCTACTGATTGTCTCAGCTAGTCATAACGCAACTCAATTCAATGACGATAGTGATTTACCAAAGATTTTTTATTTTTTTGGAAGGAAGCAACATCAAAGTCAACACGCAAATGCCCTACTACTATGACTAATTGTTACCTATACTATAACACCAGATGCAGATATGTGACACGGCCACAGTAATGACCAAGTTTGAACCACACTGTATTACAGTACGGTATTATGGGCATTTTTATATGGACCACAGCGGTCTGGAGTAATAAACGAATTGAATTAGACCTACTGGACTACAACAGTATAAGGCGGTTTGGTGTGCTGGTTGTCAGGTTTTTAGCGTTATTAATAAATTGATTCATTTCTGTTTCTCATTTTAACAGAAATAATCCTCACGCTATGAATAACTTTTGTCAATTTGTATAGTCTATGTAGAATGATTGCAATATTTAATATGTGTTGTCAGAAGACACAAATTTGCCAAAAAAGTGTACGAAAATGCTTCCACTTTTCAAGGAATTTTTGCTGTTTGTCGCGAAGAACATATGCAACTCATTATGACACACTTGGTATATCCAGTGATGCAAAGTCATCTGAAATAAAAGAAGCATACATCAAGAAAACCAAAGAACACCATCCTGATACTGGACAATCGGATAATGTAGATGATTTTCTGAAAATTTCTGAAGCTTATGAGGTGTTGAGCAATCCGTCCACAAGAAGACAATATGATTTCCAGCAATATGGAAAATCATCCGATTATAATAGATTTAAATCCGGAGAATATAATATACCAAGGCATGACCCCGAGTTTGATAGAGCTCTAAGATATCAAAACAAAAAGGCGTCAAAATCCCATTCTGAATCCAGATCATTTGATGATGAGCCAATAAAAATGGCATTATCTGGTAATGCCAGAGTAATATTAGACTATTTATTAGCTGCTCTAATATCAATAAGTGTTGCTATTATTTAATAAGTCGCCATCAAAGGACAAAAAGTGAGCAATCAAAAGAGAACGAAGATTAAATTTTAATGCTTATTATAGGAGGCGCAGTTCTTACCACTTCATGGCAGCTCCTGCCACGAACGAGCCGCGGCAGCTCTTGCCATGGTTTTATAGCGCTATTCAGTAATCAGTATTAACGGTATATTCACAAATTAGTGTACCAGATTTTATTTGATCATGTGGAATTATATCTACTTAAACCCTAACCCCAAATCAATCAAAACTGTATCCATAAGAAAAACGTTCCAACTTACCCAATATTTGTCACCATTATAGACAGCCCTGTCTTTACGGCCCCACCTGCCGCGGTTACGGCAGCAAAATTTTACCTGTCATTGGTTTTCAATTTGCTGCCGCGGTAACGGCAGCTCGACATTGGTTTGTGGCAGCTAAAAAGTCAAGTTGCCATGAGTTTGGCCGTAGCGGCCATGGTAATGAAATACCGCCATGGTTTTGCGGCAGCTGCAGATGCCACAGAATACTTAAAACTGCACTTGTATTATAGGTTCTAAGTACATATATATCATAAATGTTTGGAAATATGCAACATTTGCTTGTTGGCTGAAATAACTATTTGCTGATTCACATTCAGTAGATCTATATAAAATAAGTTGAGAGATATACTAAATACTAATTTGTCAGTGTTTGCAAAAAACTTATAGCGTGCATATCCGGTGCTCAAGAATATTCGGCTGAAGTATATTTCTTTGAATCGAATCTATGTTCCTATATGCTTATGAGAATTGAGTTACATAACACACTGTAATCTATTTAATAATTTCTATATTTTCCTGCTTCATATTGGAAACATTTTTGACATTTATTCCATATATACCGGTAATTCATGTTATATCAGTATCCTGACATATTATTTGTGAGTGAAATTATTGGAACATTTTTTCTTTACATATCTGTGAACTGATACTGGATTAATAAATTAATATTAAGACTTTCAGTTGACTATTTAAGAATTTCTCTCTTAGATGGAATTACTACATTGCACTTTTCTAAATTCCAATCTGCAATAAATTGTAAATTATAGTTGTATTGCAGTGTAAGACCTACGTCAAAAATCATCAATGCTATTATCCTGATTACCAGGTTAAATAGGTTCAAGATGCAGGAGCTTCCACCAAATAACATCTCTTCTTGTCAATTAAAATCGTTAGGTCCTACCGTCCTAACCTCTAACATCAAGACATGCAAAGCAGTTCGCCATAATATTGTATTAGTGTTAACACTAATACAATGATTTGGCAAACTGTTTTGCAATTAATTGCTTTTTTGTTTCATGTTCAAAGTTTTTTGTATCTTTTCACTGCATCGAGAATGAACAAAAGTCAGTGAACAATAATTCAGCTTGAAGTTTGTCAATGATAATACTGTATGTGTAATAATAGTAACGTTCTTTGCTATTTTCAGTGGTTCTATCAATATGTGAGGTATTTTTTGCGTAAAGTATTATTTAATAATTCTGGATTTAACATGTCTGCACAAGGATTAGAAGATATAGTAGATAATGAAGACTTCTATAGTCTTCTAAATGCGTCCAGACAGGTACATCATTATTTTGTCTTAGCTTTTATTTATTGAATTTTATATTTAGTTTCTGTGACAAGACTATTATGTGCCTTTTGAAATAAAAACTTTCTTTCTTTGGATTTGTGATTTAACTTTTGTTTGAATTCTGCTTCATGCTGTCACTCTTGTTTGATTGTCACAGGCTAGTCAAGATGAGTTGAGGACGTCGTATCGTAGATTATGTATGCAGTATCATCCAGACAAACATAATGAAGTATACAGGAGAGAAGCTACAGAAGTTTTCAACAGAGTCCAGTATGCATATGATGGTATGTGTGAATTCAATTTAGTTTGTTACCAACCAAAAGTGAGTTGATTGAATAATGTGCAGCCAAAATTTGCTGTGGAGTGTGGAATAATCCAATAGAAAATGAGGAAGTTCAAATATCCAAACCATTCTGTATACGTTCTTGTTTTGAAGAAAATGCGAGATGATGCAATTGTTGGAGACTTGGGAGTCCTGGGGAAATTTTTTTTTTATTCGGTCTGACATCAAAAGCCCCTCGTCAATAGGCATTTGCTGCCTCATAATGCACTACTATAAATCTATATAGTCTCAGTATATCTTGGCATTCCATTGGTTTCCCTAACTTTGCTTGTAGGTTAGTCATCTTTGCTTTGCTTTTGGCTGTTTGTGTCTTTTCAATTTTACTTGTAATTCATGATCAATATGTTTTAGTTCTCAGCGACCCAAATAAGAGATACATTTATGATATGTATGGGAGAAAAGGATTAGAAGCAGAATGGCAGGTATTTGATTTTTTTGTTTCTTGTTGAACTCTGAGGGGATTTATTTTAGTTTTGCTGAATTGTTGATGTTAACTTTGTTGTTGTGTTTAATAAAATAATTGCTTTTGTCCAAATCTATGTTTGGTAACTAACAATTTACTCCTTCACACTATTCCGACAAACTTTGTGTTTAGGTAGAGCCTCACCATACTGTATCCACTCTCTTTGTATTTATCATATCGAAAATAACCCTAATTAAAACAAATTTGCCTCGTCGTACATGGGATTTACTAGGTGAGGGAAAGATCTCAACATGAATATCTTAACAGGAAGAAAAAAAATGAAACATAAAAAATCCCATCTCCAAGCTAGGTGCTGTAAAGTAGTTTAGTTAGCTCTGCTGAATAGATGTCTGTTTTCTTCGGTTCAGTATATCTTAAAAGTGAGGAAATAATCTAACAACATAACCTAACTTATCGTAAGCGTAACCTAACCTACGATATCGAATCGAAGAAAATACAAAATCAGTGGTGAAATAGTACCCAAAATCTTGTTTCTGCTCATCCTTGATTCTGACAAGTCTTATTTTATGAGAACTGCTATCATTGTATGATGTCCCTCTATTTTTAAGATTGTGGAGAGGAAGAAAACACCACAAGAAATTCAAGAAGAATATGAAAGGTTACAAAGAAGAAAGGAAATGCAAAGATTGGAAGAGAGAACTCACCCAACTGTAATTTACCTTTTTATCTAAATATTGTAACATTCAAATTTCACAAAAATAGAATATGACTTCATGTTATGTGCGTACTGGCTGAAGAATAAATGTTATGGAATCATTGTTGGCACGGTTATTTGAAAACCTATCTGTAGCACCATCTTCCAATGTTGTCGTCTGCTTTGTTTCTAATACTAATAAGTTAATAACATGCCTGAATTATTGTTTCAAATGTTTCTAAATCTGGCTTGTGCTGTAGCACCTTTTGGTCTAATTGACTTATGTAATCTTATCGAAGCAATTATCATGATCTTGAGTCGTATTTTTTTAATATAGTGCATTTAATCATTGATTAAAGATTGCTTTTTCAAAAAAATAAATCTCTGTCATGCTGCAGGGACAATTTGTAATGAATGTGAATGCAACATCATTGTTTGACGGACAACCTTATGAAGAAGATGAATTTTATGACTCAGTTGCAGTTCCTGAAATTACTAAATTATCTTTGTCTCAAAGCGTAGAGGTAATAGCAATTAGGCGGTTATTTATGTTACTTCTGCTTTTTGAGTTTCATAAAAACGCTTCCTCATGTAGAAATGTAGCCATTATATAGTAATCTTTGAACATTGTGATTCTTTGTCGGAGCATTTTGGTAGCTCAAAGTTTCCTATCACAGATTCAGGACTTGGTTCCCAGGTCAGAATGTTGTTGAATTCAGAGACTGCCTTGTTTCTCTTAACCCGATGTATTTTTGAATGGTCAGATCCAGAAGTTGGAAAAAAAATATCTTCGACTACACAACCCTAGCCAAGTGCTCTCGTCATATTAGACTATTAGTTTTGACTTTTGGTTCTCTATGTTTGGAGCTGTCTTTCCCAGTTCAATTGTCGATGTTTTGTCAGAATTGATATGTGCAGTGTCAAAATACCTTCATAGTTCATATCTACTTTTTAAGGCACCTCTCACTGTTTCTCACACTGCAACAATATCTGGGAATCTTGAATCGAAGAATGGCCATGGTAGAGGAGATCTATCTGTTGCATTGCGACAAGTAATCTCACCGCTAATGTGGGGAGAGGTATGATATGACTTTCATTTTGTATTGATGAAATAGGAATTGTGAAATGTATTATGCTTTTACATTTTCTTCTCAATTAAAGTTGTATAAAACAATAGTATTAACAAATTCTTATAGAATACATCAGGGTGGTCCAACCCCAGGTCCGCAGGCCGCTTCATTATCTGTGGCACACGTCACATTCGGAGAGTAATCAAAATATCGCATTTCGTGTAGTTTCGTCATGAAATTAATCAGAAAAATCTTTTGACATATTGTCGTCACTAATGTCACTGAATTGACTAGTGTTATGGCTAGCTGAGGCAACTAGCAAAGTTAAATAATGTGCTTGTCAGTCCAAATTGTTATCTGGTTTTCTAACTTTTTGGTCAGGAATATATGCTAACAATATAGGCATCAGCGAAAACTAAAAATCGAATGCGGCTTCTATTAGCCTAGAATGGCTATGCCTGATAACTATGTGTTTGCAGTTTGCATGATAAAAGTGTTTGTTTTGTATTGCACTGTTTACCTATTCTTGGCACTTTTGTGGCCCGCGGAGCCGACAACCTTGGACCACCCTGGTATACATTTATAAAATCCAAATTATTTGTTTAGCTCACAGTTGGCGCTTCAGATGGGAAATTCACGACATTTGGGCTACGGGGATACAGAACAATTTCTCAAGGATTGTAAGTAGTAGCCTACCGTATATATTTCTCACTATTCTTTATATTTGATTTTTCCCAGATCCATTTTTAAATCAAAGAGTCCAGATGTTTTTTTTATTACATAAGATATCCATTATCCATATCATCAAATTAACGAATACGTCCTATCCCCACCGTTAACTGAATTTCATTTTCTTCGAAGAAGTGCCTTTCACAGGCATATCTTTATAATTTAATTATCTTTTTTCTACACTGTTGAATTTTTTCAGATTTGCCACGGTGCACATACCAGCTAGCGTAATTTTTCATGACTCGAATATTGCCATATCACTACCGGGTGTTACATCTATCGTTGGTCACAAAATAAGCGAAAACCTGTTTGGTTCAATAGAATTGACTAAAGGACATGTCGATCGTTTATCAACGAGTATAATATATGAGAAAAAGGCAATTCAGATATTTGGGAAACTCCAGGTATTATATTACTTCATTGAATATATGATTTATAATTCAGCAGTAGGAAAGTTTCAACATTTTTGGCACTAATAGAAATGCTCATTAGGATTTTGAGAATATTACCGTATGTAAATAATTGTAGTTTTAAATAAAATTTTACCATAATAGGTAGGTTATTCTAATTGGATATAATACAGTTAGCGAAGAAATTTAAGTGTGTGATGATGAATTGCACAGGGGTACAGAACAGCTGATATGTGGGCTGAACGGGATTTGCAGATTTGCCATCTGGGGCAACTGCGCTTCCTGCTAAAACCGCTTTTCTGAACACACACGCAGTTCCATGTTTGCGACCTTTGATGAAGCCATGCTGTACTGTAGCATTTTCAACTCGATGTAATGCGCCATATTCCCTAAATATATATTCCTTTTTTATTCCAAGCTTGGTGTGCCAAATAGTTTCGCCATGGTAAGATTGACATACAAGCTTCCTTCTGACAAAGCTAAAACGAAAGTTTCACTAAAGTAAGTCTGATTTTTACAATCTTTAATATGAAGATTTGAATATCTGTAGCATTTACAAAAAGAAGTTTCAATATTTTTATTCCAAAATTAGGAATTTTGAGCCGTCAGACAAGCAGATCGAATTGTACGATATCTAAACACAAACAACACAGGGAAAAATAATGATCTTTATATTCATGTTGATTTAGCTAATATGATCAACATGAAGATATAGTGATATATGTTATTTACCACATGAGCATTAGAATGTATTCAATATTCCTCATTTTTTTCGTAAGTACTAAACAGACTGTGTTTGCTGGATTGTGAGCATAATAGCATCTATTACGAAACAGAATATGTCACATTCCCAATATTGTTTTAGTCTGCCACAGGCTCAGTGTGGTCACATCTGATCATGTAATGAAAGAAAGTCAATGTCTATTCTTATAAAGAAAGTCACTGGTCTATTCTTATAAGGAAGGAAATTGTGGATTAATTTATTGTTCATAAAATTCAGGCGCCTGAGATTCCCTGCTCTAAATCCTCATTTCATTTACTTACGGTAAATCAGGTTGGTCCGAATAACCCTAATATTTCTTTTCGATTCATTCTTTTCATATCATTCATTTCAGAGTTGGTACTATAGGAATTTTAATTGAATATGGTGCTGAACATCAAGTGTCTGAGTTTTCTACAGTTGGAGCAACAGTTTCTGTAGGAGTTCCTCTTGGTGTTTCATTGAAGTTGCGGTAAGTTCATTTATCAATATGACCATTGTGTCGAGTGCATAGCAAATTTCATAAAGATTTTTTTAATTTAAAAAAAAACTTCATGTTATTAATTTTTCAAACACTCATTCCTTTTTTCATCTTTTTTTTCTAATCAGTAATAAATGATATATTTGCAGGTTGAATCGTGCTTCACAGACATATTTTATGCCAATTTTGTTATCAGATGAAGTTAATCCTGTCGCTATTTTTTATGCAACTGCACTTCCAGCGACGTTTTATTTTGCTTTACAAAAACTTGTAGTTCAGCCATATCTCAAAAGGAAAAAAAAAGAGTGAGTTTTCTGATGTTAGTAAAGAAAGTTACGATAATAGCTATTCTCTTAACATGTTTATGGCGTTCTTTCTTTAGAGAGGAAGAATCTGAAGAGAAGACTCATTCAGAAGAGACTGCTCAGAAAAAGGCAGAAGCCGAGAGACAGGTAAATGATAGAAGCAAACCCAAATTAATATATCAAATTATCCCAAGTAGAGCTCAGGCGTCACAAAGCATCACAGTAATTCAGAACCCAATGCTCTTGTAAGGTTTCCTCATTGCTCTGGGTATTGGGCGGCTCTCTGGGAATATCCCCTTTATTAATATACTACCATTTGTGGTAAAAATAAATTTATGTTCCAATATTAAAATATCTTTAGACTTGAATGTTACAACTCTGCAATGTCATTTTTGAAATATACATGTAATGTAATAAATATGTGCTGTATCTTTTTCAGGTTAGATTAATGCAAGAATCCGTTGAACGAAAGATTGAATTAGAAACACAAAAATCTGGATTATTAATAACTGATGCCTGGTATGGAAAGTTGGTTAATAATGCAGCAGAACAGTAAGTTTACCAAGTTTTTTAGTCTCAATTATGTGATCATTATTGCTATCGTATTAGGATTGAATGACCACATAGTTGTGATTCTAATGAATAAAATAATTTCATGTAAAACATATCTATGCTGAGAAAAAAATGTGTTTTCATTCTTTTTTATGATAGAATTTCTGACATATCTAACCAGGGTTTCCCAAACTTTTTGGGCCACGGATTCCTTTTTTTGACGTACCCCATCCTATGGCAAATCATTTTATGTGCCTAACCAACGAGAAAGGATAAGGTTTCTTTGCCGAAATAAAACTCATGAAAGTCTGAATCATTATATACTAACCTTAAATGCTGGCTGACTTACTGACTATCAGCAATTCGATAAGATTATGATCTATTTATAAATGTTTCAGACTCGTTTCATATCGTTGAGGGCCCCCTGTGCAGTCATTGCGACCCCAGTTTGGAAAACCCTGATCTAGAATATCATTTTAGGTTGTCCGACAAATTCACTCAAAATAAAGCTCTAAGCAAGCAGCCAATGGGTTTGAAAAAACCATCACCCTCATTTAATGTTGATATGGGTCAGACATTTATTTTTTCTTATCAAAGTTTGGTTTCAAAAATATATTTTATTTTACCTTTTCTTTGGATGGGCAGACTTTTACTTTTTATATAATTTTCTGTTGAAAAATTGAATATTAGCAGTTTTTCTTCTGATATTCTTATAATCTAATTCATTTTCACAGATCGTCATCTCATCGTGTTATCGATGTTAAAGTTCCTCTTCAAAATCAAGTTGAAAGTTCAAGTTTACAATTACCTGAGGGAATTTCTAAATCAGGACTTCCTGGTTTCTACGACCCCTGTCCAGGAAGCGAAAAATCATTAAAAGTAGAGTTTTTGTTTTATTTTTACTTGTTATTGCCATTTATGGCTGACGATATTACATTTATTTTGCAATTCATCCTATAAGGGAGCTATGTTTGGGTTAAAATTATTGTCGATGCTATGGTTTATCTTAGTGCTTGCAAAGCAAGTTATCTGTTGGTAGGAGTGAATGGCTTCAAAAACACCACATAAAAATATTCTAATTAAGCTTTTTATTCACTAGTTAAAACATCCATAGGAACTGTTCAGATATGTTATTCCTATTGAAATATAATTATAAAAGTTTAAAAATTAAGTAAACTAGTTCCATTCAATTATTGAGGTTGGACCTTGAGAATGGTGCTATAAAATATGGCCCCAACTTAGCCACCCTGTTTGTTTTATATGATATTTGTTTTGCAGATTTTATATAAGTTCAGAAATAAGAAACACGAGGTATTAATTGAGGACAAGGATAGATTAAGAATGCCATTGAGAAGTAAGTGTATTCAAAATGTTCTGTGTCATCCAATTTGCTAGTTAAGTTATATGGCAATAGTACACTTATGTGTCAAACATGATCATCTGCATTTATATCAATTGTTTCAAGGACTTCATACTTTTGCCTTCTCTTGAATATTTACTTTAGGAACCTGGAAACTTATTTCAATATTAATTGAATAAAGCGTCCTATTTGTATACAAAACAAATGTTAACTCAAATTACAAAAATAGAAATAGATCCACAAGTTTCAAATGCCTGGGTCTGGTTAATGGATTGTGCTAATAACGTAACAATTAGCCTGAATCAATTAAAAAAATATTTGGCTACAAAGGACATCAAGATTTGTTTCTGCTATAGTACTTCGTGCCTGTGAGAAAGATTAATTAATCTAAATCTGCGTAAACAATTTTTAAGTTCAAGTTAGGCACTTAAAATATTTTTTGTTAAGATATTTCAAATTGTGCTTTGTTTTCCTTTTCAGGTCATATATTGGAAGGAGACAATGGTGTATGACATTTGCATGCATTAACTTTGGTCAGAAATTTTACCGAAGTAGTAACATGGATCCGATTTTCTTATGCCACGATTGATGTATTTTGCTTTGCAAAATATCACATATGACTTCAAGTTACCAGTTTGTGTGACTGATGTGAGAACTGTAGCGGTGGTGGTTTCCTCCAATTACTGTATATGTATCTCGGGTTCACGAGGTCTATTTCCACATTCCTGTCTGTTTTTGGGCATGTAGCATCAAAACTTTCATCAAGAATTCACATGAGATTTTGGTATATATACCCATGTGCCATGTTTGTGTGTTTTTAATAATTGTCCGTAACCATTTGTTGTGTTTTTCGTAGGGAACTTAGGAAAATATCAATTAGTCTTTTGTTGTTTCAAGAATTTTTGGCATGGTGCTGATACAAATATCAAATATTAAAAACATTTTTGTACTAGTCAAGCTTACAATTTTCGAGATTTGTAAGTTGATGGTTGGCGCGTAAGGTATTTTGTAACGTAAGTCAGAATCATGTGGTAGATGAATATGTTCCAAGTTCCGCATCCTGCGCAGTGTCAAAACATAAGGCTGTGTGGTAATGGATCACTAAACCATCCGAATTCACGCTGGTGGTTACTTTTACCGTAGAAATAAATATGAATACGTATTTCACTCGGGGTTGCCACAACGTGCCAAGCGTAAAAAACAAACTTGCTGTCGCGCTTCTAATTACCATGTGCGCGTCCGAAACCCGGCGCGAGGTATTCTTGTGCGACGATGGGATTATTGCTGCACTCTCTGCCATCCGAGGGTAGTTCACTTGACGCCTGGTGTTCAGTTCAATTCCAAATATCCGAAACAAACAGCTGGTTAACTTTTTCCATGCCGGCATGGACTAGGGACGACGAGGCCATAGTTCGTCATATGATCATGTCGTTTTGTCGGCTTTCCTCTTCCTCAGAAACGAATAACATTGTGACCGTTGCTGTCAATTACACAGTATTTTCGAAACGGGTTACAATGCATTGAGCTTACAATCGATAGAAATCATAAAATATACTCGGTAGTTTTGCTGACTCATGCCAAATCTAAATTCAGTCACGGCAAATCCTATGTAACACCGTTTTTACATGACATTTTGTAACCTGCCGAAAAATGTTTCCAGGTACATGTTGGTGTATAGTGGCGCCGCGTGGTCATTTTGACAACCGGGGCAAGCTACTGCGGGACCGAGTCACCCCCATCTACGGGGACAGGATGAGCGCTGTAAGTTCTCCCATCATTTTATGAGTATAAAAACCATTCCATCGGTAACAACCAATCGGCAAAAGCGACAATTTTTAACGATAAGAAAGTGTCTTTGAAACCGGTCCAAGTCAAGGGATTAATAAATATAGACATAGTTTATTTTGAAACCTCTTTCAAAAGGAAAGGCAATATTTACCCAGATAAATACAATGTCATATTAACAGAAACTTCGGAAAAGCAGACAAAACTTAAAATAAGGTTTAAAACGTTGCTATGAAGAAAGGAAAGTTAATGCAAAGATAAGGACATGCGTCGCTCACTCATAGATATATATGCTGCTAGACTTCTACTGCTTGAACCAATGACATTAAACAACATGATGCGCAACTCCGGCATTTTTGGTCGAAGATCGTATCCGATAGCACGCTCCAATGCACATACTTGACGAGACGAAAACGAGCGAATGTGTGCTGCTTTCAAGGCATAGCACGAATGGTGTTCGTGCCTGCTTTGACAGTTGTTGTCGATTTTAATGATATATTGGAAAATTGAAGGTGAAAAGAAATCGGAAAAAAGTAAGGTAAATACTATTGTTGTATATCACACTCGGGCATCGCGCTGTTAAGTACATGTGGGAAAGCCAGCTTTTGTCAAATACTACGAAGTTATTAAATCAGTACGGTAAGTAATTGCCCATTTGCCGAAATTGCTTATTTACTTACCCCTTATGGTTTCAAATAGTTCATACACCTCCATTTCGATTTTTTTTAATCAGTGAGGATATATACTCATTGCTGTAACATACTATTGCTCATTCACTTTTATTTGCGTATTGAATCAAAGGGTTAACAAGTTCACCTAACAGTTCACTCATACCGGTCTATATTGTATAGTCTGATCTCTCAAGTATTTGGAGCCACCGATGCTTGTAATTTTCTGACTAAACCCCTTTATTAGTTGGTTTATATACGAAATTCAGTAAAACATTTTTTACATAAAACATGAGATATTGGATTTATTAGCTTTTCCAATCTAAATCATATAGACTGCTTTATTTATTCTTAACGAAAATTATTGAATCTCCTCTCTTTCTTCAGATGTGAAAGTTTTTGAAAAACTTGTCTAAGCATTGTGGGACTCCTACAGCACAAGAGGCAATAGCAAAAATAGTAAGTATATTAATCAAGAAATTAGGCCGACATAAAGCAAAACTTTTAACTATTCGTCCAACCTCAATTTCCTAATATTTATTCACAGGACAACTGTAGCAGAAGGGGATATTTCAGAAGTCTGGCGACATATCAGTGACAGTGTGATTCCAAGAAATACAATCAGAATACTCCATAAATGTTTGCAATAGAAGAACAACCTATGGAGGCATGCAAAGACATTTGAACCTCCGGTAGAGTTGTGTATGGCCCCTACATCCGGCAGGGCTTGAGGAAAATAACTAAAAATTCCGAAGCGTAAGATTGCATAAGCGGTCTTCTTTGTAAAAAGGCACAAAACATGCCAGACATACTCAAAACAGCTTTGGAAAATGAGGATTATGGGTCACTCACTACACCTGTGTTATATTTGATTCATCAACTTTTGGTAGTACTAAAGAAGAAATTCAGGAAAGGGTATAATCATGATTCATGATAAAATACTGTTATATATTTTGGACAACTTCAATCTAGACCAGGGATATCAAACTCGCGGCCTCAGAGAACTTCCAGTGAGGCCCTCGAACGCTTAACAATAATTGTAATAGTATTTTGGAGTTTTTTTTTATCTAAGTGTAATAGATTTTTCAACCTTTTTAAAGTGAAATTGAATATTCACACAGAAAGCAATTTACTGAAAGTAGTTGTGGAAAATTATTTTTTTTTGTTCACATTTTGACCCAATTAAGAATACACATCAAGCTAGCAAAAGAATACTTGAATAAAACACTTGAGTGAATAAATTAAACGCAAAGTACATGAAGAAGGTGGCATTTTCGAAGAAAATGGGAGTTGCAATATTTCTGCATTTCACAAAATTTTGAAGCACATTGTTTAATTTGTCATATTTCCATCAGTACAATGAAAAACACAATAAGCTCAGCAGTCAATATGACAATTTCGAAGACCAACTTCGAACAGAAAATTTCCATGTGTTTGTATATTAATATAAATATACAACGACTTAGTTACTAAAAATCAATATCACTAATAATTCAAGCAATCCTATGCTATGCAATGTGGCGCGAAATGTCTTGTCGAAAATATCTGTCATTTGTTTTTCTACTGATCTATTCGTGAAATGATAAAAGTAACTTTTTTGCTTTACTGGAATTAATTAAACATTCGCAAAGTTCCAGATTAACCCATGATCATGTGACCTCGTTAGTTAGAGTTGGTACCATAAAATCATTTCAGCCTGGCCTTAGTATGCTGTTGACACAAAGAGATGCCAAACGTCAGGACAAATGTAATTAAAAAAACATTGAGTTTATACTGTAGTATTTTTGTTAATTTTAAGTCCATATATTTAGATTAAGTCATTTTTAGTGTATGTATTATTCTTTCCTTATCCAAAGCTTGTTCAAAAATGATTTTGATGGTTGTATAAAGAATTTTATGATTTTTTGTAATAAATACAGTAACTTGCCATAATAGTGGAATGCAAATATTAATATGTAATTGCATTTGAAATTAAAGAAAATAATAAAACTTATTCAACTGTTTAGTTGCATCACAATATATGTCACAAACTAAAACTATCTGAAAAACATATCTTTCAAGTATACATTATCAAAAAGTGTTTTCGGCCCTTTTTACAATTTCCAAAATGCAATGCGGCTCTCGAAAACCCATGCGTTTGACACCACTGATCTATTCTAGACAATTCAAGCATTGCTTTGGGAAATAATATCACTTCAATTAAATTGAAAAAAATCTCGCTACATAAATACAAAATCGTTGCTATCATAAAGGTAAACCAATTCAGCCACTCGGAATATATTGGCCTTCACAAAGCAATGGAGGCAAAATTGAGAGTTCGTGAGCTATGAACTTTTGTTCTTTTCTTTGTCTTGAACTTTTCATACTCCACAGCCCCTATTAATTTTTTTTTAATTTTAATTACCATGTGATGGTCATACATATCTTTAACTTGTATTTTCTGTCATGATGTATTATCTCAATGTGTCAAACCGTAGTAGTATATATTTACGGTCAAACTTTTAATTAGTGTGCATATTTTGCTTCCAGAAGACATAAATGTACAGTATTGTCTTGTTTATTACCTCAGCTTGGAGTATTGACAAGAAAAAGGTGCCCGTAAAACTCTTTGTTATAATCAGAATTCACAATTAATAGGAATCATAAACAGCCAACATTCAATGAGAATTATATGCCAAATCCCTCAGAATAAATTTGTCTTCTAAAATCGGAGGAAGGCAAAACATATAGGTAGATTCCATTCATACAAGTCTTTCAAGAAGACTTACTCGAGCCAAACTAAATGAGCATCGTCAGATGATCGGTAAGGCTGCAAGTTGAATCAGCCCACAACCTCCCGCATAGAATATATTAATTAGTGGACTATGAACTAAATTCCTACATTTAGACACAAACATATCTACTAGGCATTATGTACCAGCAATGTTACCTACGGTTAACTAAATATGTAATTATGTCTAATAAATTAACCTACTAAAGCAAGTTCGATAGGTGCAAACTAGTGTTATGGAATTGTATCACAGCACCGTTAAGAGAAGTAAAAACAGTTTTGCTGTTTTGTATGACACTCTCTTTAAATGAAATTTCAATGTTTAAGCGCAAACATTAAAATTACTAACTTTGAACTTTGTCATTATCTGCAAAATGTTCCACAAAATCTTTACGCTTTCGCGTTTGTAATCTTCTCTGATAAAAAAAAAAACGTCTATGATGTCCAGAATTACTCTTTACAGCTTGTCTGCCATTCCAGCTTTCCAAGTGAGCAAAACTTCTTAGATATAGAGATTATTTTCTTTCGTTACAGGCGCAAAAAGGCAGGCACTACGCGTAAAGAAGATGCCGGGTAGCAAAAGCGAGCGGAAAACGGTCGCGAAAGGCGACGAGAAATATGTGCATTGGAGCGTATAATGAAATACAATCTTTCGCATGTAGTCTTATGGAGTGACGTCAGAGTTGCCTATCATGTTGTTTAATGTCATTGCTTGAACATATATGCAACACGCCGCGGT